TATATATGCAGCTAAAAAGAAAAATTAAGAAAACTACAAAAACGAAAAAAAAAAAACTCATGAGAAATCCATGTATTTGCATATAAAATAGGTCTTAGAACTTGTAAACATTTTTGAAAGTGTAACGGTCTTTGTTACATGACCGCCTAATCCCATTTTTTTTTGTATGTAATGTAATAAGCAAAGAAAGTGAACAACTAAGCCTAAATAATTAATAATGATTTGTAGCCCATAACATGAAACGAGCACTAAGTAGAAAGTACGTATTAATTTTCTAAAGTAGCGAAAAACAAACAAAATAAATCTAATAAGAGCAATAAGAACGTGGCGCATATCGATAACAATTTGAGTCAATCGCTGTGCTGCAGTGTGACCAGAGTGCGCTTTTTCAGTTTGTTGTTATTTTGACAGCCATGCAGTTTACGACACTGCACAACGTGGACACCGAATATTCGGCAGATTCAGTGGAATGGTGCTCACAGGACGAAACACATCAGAAATACTTTGCTTGCGGCACCTATCAGCTAGTGGAGGCCGAGCAGAACAGCACAGCTGCAGTTGAAGCTGAGTGCCAACGGCCACGCAAGGGTCGTATCTATTTGTTTGCCTTTGACAGACAGAATGACGCACTGGAGCGGCTGCAGTGCCTCGAAACGGCGGCCATATTGGACATGAAGTGGCTGCCAGCTTGGAGCTGTGACACTGGTCCGCTGCTGGCCACAGTGAATGCCCTGGGTGAGGTGGAGATCTATGAGCTGTTGCACGCAGAGCAGCGAGTACAGCAGCGGGCCAAGCTGGTCCTCGAAGAAACGACGCTTAATACGCCAAAGGCACTGGCACTCTCCCTCGATTGGCAACGTGCTGATGCAGATGCTGATGGTGTTGGTGCCTTGCAGCTGCTAGTCTCTGACTCGCTGGGCAATGTCCATCAGCTGCAGTATACGGCAAAGGATGAATTGAGCAAGGTCTGCTCCTGGCAGGCACACGGCTTTGAAGCGTGGACATGCGCCTTTGACCGCTGGAATCCGCAGCGTGTTTACAGCGGCGGCGACGACTGCTTGCTGCATGCCTACGACTTGCGCAGCGGCACCGAGGCACAGCCGCAGCGCATCTGGACAAATAGAGCGCATGGCGCAGGCGTCACCTGTCTGCTCAGCCATCCACAAAATGCACATCAGCTGCTCACCGGCAGCTACGATGAGCTGTTGCGTGTTTTCGATACGCGGGCAATGAAATGCAGCCTAGCCGAACTGAATCTAAATGGTGGCATTTGGCGGCTCAAGCCTCATCCACAGCGGTCCGATCTAATACTGACTGCATGCATGTACACAAACTTTAGTGTCGTGCAGTTGAAGGAAGGGGCGCTAAGCCTCCTGGGCAGCTATGAGGAACATTCGAGCATTTGTTATGGTGCCGACTGGGCGCCAAATATCGATAAGTTTGAATTACCGGATGACTACACTCACAGCCTGCATATGGCCACCTGCTCCTTTTACGACCATAAACTGTGTGTAAGCAAAGTCGACATTAAATTTGCTACGTAATTATATTATTTATGAATGCATTTAAAAATAAAATACAAATCATTTATGTAAAATAGTTGTAAATAGTTGTAAAATAGTTTAAATATCAATGAAATGCAACTATGGTATGGTCAACAGTCAGCTTTCCAAGACTGCTGAAACTGAGCCTCCTGATACTAAATGGTATGTGAGATTATACATACGAACACTGACCAGAGAACACATTTTTCGGTGCTGAAAAACTTTGTACTACATGTCTAGTCTATGTGTTCTCTGGTCAGTGATACTAATGAGACCAATTTTATTTGTGATTGTGTTGGTATGTTAGTGGACCTTAGACATCAATTGTTTAGAAAGGCATAAATTATCCTTACAAAATACTATCGACGACTACTCGGCGACTTTCTTTGCAGAGAATTCGAGGATGATAAATATATGTTTATTTTTAATCATTGACTAAAGAACAGTGATTTCATTTAATTTTAATATAAATGTATAGGATTTTTTTTTTAAAAGATTCTTAGTTAAAAAAACTTTAAACGGCTTTATTAACTTACATGAATGGTGTTCTTCGAGTTTACTATTTTCTACGAGTTTAGTTAACTTTTTATAAGAACGGTTTAGTGAAGTGTCAAAGAGTAAGTAGTGACTAAGCAAGATTTTAATGATGACATTAAAGTTATTTGTCAAAAAGGATGTCAATAATCGCATATCCTACTTGTCATTATTACTATTACGTTATTTTACAATTTCCTTTGAATGAGTATTCAAAAAATACTGACTCGATAAATCAGTTTGACATTGGAAGCTATCGTTTTTCATTATTTCACTCAAAAGCAGCGCGTTCGCTTTACGTTTATATTTGTTCTCTTCAAAATGACTATTGAAAAATGTACTTTGGGAAAAGTTGAACAAGAACTTTATAAGTTGGACAAGGCGCTTACCGAAGTCACAAAAGCAATGAACGACATTGAAATGCAGATGAATTCTAACGAAGCAGATCCAGACAACACCGAGAACATAAATGAATTCGCAATTGTCTTGAAGAACGTCTCAATTGAAGAGAAGAAATCAGAAGCCGAAGCCGAAAATATTGGTGCGATATACAAATTTCTTTATTATATACATGTATGTATCTTAATGCAATTTATTTATTTTAGACGAGAAGTATTGGATCATCTACATGGATATACTACGTAAAAAACTTTGCCATCTCGGCTGCAACGTAGTCCAGATGCTCCATCCATTCAAGACACTGTTTTGCATTGACTTCAGCAGGGGCACCTATATCATAATCGAGATAAACAAATCAAAAATCTCGCTCGAGAAGATCTCTCCGGAACACAAGAACTTCGATAATATCAAAGAGCATATGGACAAATCACAGGATATCCTCGGATTGATCGTCTTTTTGGCCACACTGAATCTTAAGTAATGTTCCCCCAATTATAGATCTATGTAGCTTAACCCAGAGGATACGGAGTTACACTCTCCGTCATATATAACACCGTGTTTGTACCATATATGTATATATATGTCTAATAGTATTTACATCAATGTAAATTAAAAAATAAAAAACGTCCTCTCTTTTTATATGCGGCTAATTTTGTAATTTTTATAAAATATGTATGTATGTAAGCATATATATATATGT